TAGCTTTCTTGTCAGCATCCACCATTCTTAACACCGTGACCAAAGGGGCAGTGGCCTCTACAACACTGGAACATCGAGACCAGAACCGTCTATTTGAGACTATGTTGTCCACTTTTATACCGGTACTGGACTTCGAGAGGTGGTCATTTAACCACTCTTCACAGGTAAACAATCTCATTAATGCACCTTCAAATTCTCGAATGGAGTCCACAGCTAAGTAATCGGTCGCAAAGCGGGTTATGGCAGGCCTGATTATCTCTTTTTTCTTAGAGTGTTATCTGAACAGAAATAAAATTTTAGAGTGGTTGTATATAAATCTCGATACCAACCTTGCTTCCTCTAGTGTCTCTTTCACAATTTTGATCTCACCGATCTCCTCTAACATAAGATCGATGCTGTATGCAGCACACGGGGTCCATACAAGATGCTTCCTCTTATCCATCAACTTGCTGCCCGTAGAAACACATGCACGCGCATTATAAATAATAAACTGGACTACATGCTTATCTCCCACTTCCTCCACTATCTGATTATATAGTCGTACGTAGAAGTTTGCATCCTTCTTCGTCCTTGATACGTCTTTGCTAGACAAAAAAGCTGTACCTTTTGAGAATAGGTCAAGAAGTTTAAAAACTCCTTTTTGCTAACTTTATTCAACCAGCCATCACTCATGAGAGTAATGCCTGATCTTGGCCAACTCTGTTTATATTCTTCAATCCACTTTTTAACTTCCTCCACCTCTTCATCTAATATTGGCCCACTGAGCTCATATGCCATCGGGGGTTTTACCTTGAGCCCGACTCTCTGGATTGCACTGATTATAGGTAGAAAATATGGGCTGTTGGCTGCATAAAAGGGAATCCCTTTATCGTAGAACCATTTACCAACATATCTCCCCAACATGTTTCTTGTACCTTTAACCATGTCTTTTAGGGTCATCTGTTGTGACTTAGGCTTTGAGATAAATGGGTCTTTACGACCATGACTTGCAATACTGACAATCCTAAGTAACTTAGAAACAATTTCTTCAACATCTTTGAGCTGGGCCCGCCATACATGCTTGAGCTGAGCCCGCCATGCATGTCTGAGCTAGGCCCACCATGCATGTCTGAGCTAGACCCACAGGGCATTCTAAACCCACGTTCCCTATGATATTGTTCATGTAAACTCAATCTCTTGGCCATATCCAGCTCATTATTATATTGCTCTTGTAGGTCATTATTATATTGCTCTTCTGTATCATTCCTGCTTGATGGCATATATAAACTAGCTATCTCCTCATTCATCCTATGTTGGCAATTTTTTTACCTTTGTTAGCATTAAGAATTGCCGCCATCTATTTTTTTACATTACTAGAGACACTAGTGCATGCAGAAACTTCTCCCTTAACTCCTGCTAAATGTTACTTGAACCTATGTACCCCACTACTTATCACTCTTTGACAGTAATTACAAATAATTTTGTCTTTTTTGTTGGGATCAAGTCTGACCCCATGTTGCCATGCAGGGTTTTCTGTAGATCTTGACATGATTCAACTGTTTTAAGATGTAAAAAGTATAAAATTAACCTGACAGTTCAACAAGAAAAATAATCACCATGTGTAGTGATAATATGTTGGGGTAGTTCATGTAGTCATATTTGTTGTTATTTGTTATTGCAAAATGCCTCTATTGACAATAATATTTTCGTACATATCAATTACAAACATTCAGAATAATATAATACAAAATGCAAGCTCCAAACATGGCTACAACTCAATTATCAAGAATATACATTTTTTGCATTAAAAAATTAATAATATAAACAATTCTTCAAAGAGCCAGCTAACATAAGTCATTCCAACTAAAAAATGCATTAACAACAGATAAAAAAAATACAGTTTTGCATTAAAAATATAATAACATGCATTTTTTTGCATAAATAATCTATCAACATACAATTTTTTCAACAAAAATTTTAACAATAAAAATTTAAAATATGGTTCAATACCTCATGATAATTAAAACCTTGTCACGATTTTCACATCTTTTCGAAAAATCATCATTTTTCAAAAAATTCAATCATGGAAAAAAAAAAAGTACAGCAAACTCAAACAATAAAAATTAAAGTTTGGGTTTAATAGATCATGATAATCAAAACCTTATCATGATTTTCACATCTTTTCGGAAAATCATCATTTTTCAAAAAATTCGATCATGGATAAAAAGAAATAAAAAAAAAAAGTATAGCAAATTTTCAAAAAATTCGATCATGGATTACAAAAAAAAATTCGATCATGGATTAAAAAAAAAATTAAAAAATTTTCAAAAAATTCGACCATAGATTAAAAA